GTCCCGACAGATTTTGCTATTTCATCGATGACGCCGATGACCTGCAGTGGGCCCTTCTCCGGGGCTACGCTCCCGTTGCACTCGGGCATGGTGGATGCTGCTGGGACTTCTTCTGTCATGCTTAGAGCCGCGCCGCACCGCGCCGCCGACCGGGGCCGTGCAGCGCCGGGGGCCCCGCCCCTGCACCCCGGGGTGGGGAGTGCTGCACCTCACCCCTTCTCCCCCCCGGGGGGTTTCGGTCCCCTGCGCAAACGGTCAACGCGCGTCTCCGCTCCTGCGGGTGCTGCGGCGGAGCCGGGACGGCGGTGGCACCATCAGATGTGCCGAGGGCTTGCCAGCGGGCTCTGGCCACGGGGCGATCCAATCAGCACCTCCCTTGTTGCTGAGCCTCGTCCCGTTGCATAATTAAATGCACCATTTTAATTTACATAAACAAACAATCTGAAGCAAGGAAGCTTTTGTGCTGGCGTGGAGCGCGGGTCGTTCAGCATGTCAGCTCCGCGGTAATAAACAGAGATTTTGTCCTCTGGGCACAATGGCTCTTTGTGTCTCCGCCTGGTCACAGGGACGGCGATTGTTCTGACCCCTAATCCCCGGAGGGTGACCACCTTCCTTCCATAGCGCTGCCGCCACCTAACCCGCTTAACATTCCCCATCGGGTTTGTGTGCCGATAAACCGCGCCGTGCCGCTGGCCGGACAATGAAGGCATTCTGCACTTGTCGGGGGACCAACGGGCTGGTTGGGAGGGCACATGCCCCGCACACGGCCGTGCGTGTTGCGCAGCCATTCCCCGCGCAGTGACACGCACCGCCAGGGCTCAGCCCCCGGGGACAGGACTGGAAGGGGAAAAGCAGAAGCACGAGCCAAAGTGATGTTCTGTGACGAGGTGTGAGCCGAGGGAGAGGTGGGGCAGCGGAAACTCTCTTTAAAGGAATATAAAAGGGGCAAGGTATGGGCTTAGCACTTACATCCGCAGTTACTGGTCAGACCTAAGGCCAGCAGGGGCGAGAGGGGAAGGTTTTACAGAGGGAAGCGGGAGGATTGCCCCGGCAGCACCATGGCATTCTCTCACCGAAGTTGAACTCGTCTCAACTCAGGTTTACGTAAGAGTGTAATCTCCTGCTGTGAATGACTTTTTGTGTTCGCACAATACAACGTTTTTGACATCTTTGGGCTTTAGGATTTGGAAATCCTCTTGTCGAGTTCAGACCTTGATTAGAAATGGACCCCAAAGCCTTCCCCCTGGTTTTCTTCATCTGAATTTGCATTTTTTAATCAACAGCTTTTAATCATTGTCATGAAAATTAGTTTGGAGCAATTGATTTATTAAATCAACGTTTTGCTGGAAAAATTCGTCCAAGACGACTGGATGATAAGGTTTGACAGCTAGTTGACAACAGGCAGCAGTAGGTGCCCTCAGGAGAGGCTGGGTACCCGGCACGGGCTGACGGCTGGAGAGGGGAATCACAGAATCATAGAATGGTTTGGGTTGGAAGGGCCCTTGAAGCCCATCCAGTCCCACCCCCTGCCCTGGGCAGGGACACCTCCCACCAGCCCAGGTTGCTCCAAGCCCCGTCCAACCTGGCCTTGAACACCTCCAGGGATGGGGCAGCCACAGCTTCTCGGGGCAACCTGCCCCGGGGGATCACCACCCGCACAGGCAAGGATTTCTTCCTGATACCTCATCTAAATCTCCCTTCTTCCAGTTTGAAGCCGTTCCCCCTCATCCTATCACTACATGTCCTTGTAAAAAGTCCTTCCCAGCTCTCCTGGAGCCCCTTTAGGGACTGGAAGGTTACTTTCTATTCTTATCAAGCTATTTCCATATTCCTGAGATAATCCAAAGGGCCCTGCAGGTGATTTCTCGTTCAACCGGTCCTGTCCCCAGGGTTTCCCTTGGTGTGGAAACACCAGGACAAAGGTTTCACAGCCGGGACTTGCCTGAGCATCCCTGCTGTGCCGTCAGCCTGGGGCTGTGCTGCCCAGCGCACCTGGGAGAGCTGCGGGCGACAGAGGCAGCACCGACCTGGGAACACCGGCCCAGATGCAGCCAGACACCCGCACTGCCCGTCCGCGCCGTCACCTCGCTCTGTGCACAAGAGCCATGGGGATGTCCCGCTCCGGCCCTGCACGGGCCAGTCCGGCTCATCACTGACCCGGCAGCGGGCACCAGGGCGGAGCGGGGATGTGGCCACGGCCACCCTGGGATGCGCACTGCAGCCCTCTCGGTGCAGCCGGCACGAATCCCGCACCGGGGCTCGAGCGTGGGGCCAGCTCCCGGCCAGGCTTCATGTTGGAAATAACCCAAAGCTGAAAATGGGGCACCAGGCTTGGCAAGCGTGAGCCCCGCTGAGCCAGGAGCCGTGTCAGCTCCCCCGGGGATGGGGACAGGTCCTGTCCCCCCCTCCCCAGGGACCTGCCTGCCTGACCTAGAATCATAGAATTGTCTAGGCTGGAAGGGACCATTGAGTCACTGAGTCCAACCATCAACCTGACACTGCTCACACAGTGTCACAACCACCACTAACCCATGTCCCTCGGCATCGCGTCTGCCCGGCTCTTAAACACCTCCAGGGATGGCGATGACCTCCTGATTGCAAAAAGATATTGAAACAATTTTTGGTATTTCCTGGTGCTATCTATTGGTTATGCAACTGATTCTTGACAGTTCACATTTTCCCCAAATAAGCGCCTTGTGGTCGAAGCACGATTTGCATGAATCTATTACAAACCATTTTCCGTGCGACCTTTAGCACAGGAAGTTTCCGTTGGAGCTGTCCTTTGCTAAAATTTCACAAATTGCACGTGGGATTTCAGAGGCGCCCAGGCACAGCAGGGGTTTCAGAGTCAGCAAGGTCACTCCTCAGAGCCACAGCAATTCCCGTTCATCCCAGAAACAGGACGAGGCCGCCGGGGCAGGGGGGCTGCGGGGGGTTTGCAGGGGGTTTGCAGG